AGAAAACAATAAACTATTGATACACCAAGCATCATAGATAAATCTCAAAATAATCATGGTAACAGAAGTGAAACATAAAAAATAATGCATACTATACTATTATATTTGTAGAAAACTCTTGGAAATACAAACTAATTTATAGTAACAATGTTAGCCTGAAGCAGGGGGCTGGGGAAAGTTGGGCAAGAGAAATTGTAAATGGACCAAAAAATACTTCTAGTGTGATAAATCACAATATTGATTGTGATTATGGTTTACTGCATATAAATGTAGGTCAACATTTATCAAATAGCACCTTTTAAATATGTGTGTGTAACTTAATATACACCATGTACTTCTTAAATCTGCTAAAAAGACAAAATAAATAGAAGAAAAAAGTTGTAGAGCAGAAATTACTCCTTAACTATTTAATTCAGTTCGATAATTGAGCAAACTGTTTGAGAACAAGTTAGACAGTTGCTAACAATTATGTTTAGAAAAATGCATGTGACTCAGTACACACCACATTAGAATAAGAGACCTGAAGGGCACCTTCATTTTACATGTAACAAATTGAGGCCAAAATAGTTTATCTCTTGTCACATCCATCCTTCCCTGCTGTGTTCCACTTATTAAACTATTGCATTTGACAAGGCTATTCAGCAGTTTATGTCAGAGAAGATACATGAACCTTTGTTTTAAAATATTCAGTGTGATTCTTTTCCATACGAGTTTTCTGAGTCAGCCACATTGTACCATTTATTGTGGCATCTTTAAAAATGTTTCAAGTTGTAACTAGAAATTCATATGCTTTTATTCTGTTTTTTTTTCTTTTCTTTTTCAAACGCATACCAGAACACACACTATATTATTCTATTTATAGAAAACTCTTGGAAATGAAAACTAATTTATAGTAACCATGTTTGCCTGAAGCAGGGGCTGGGAAAGTTAGGTAAGGGGAATTGCAAATGCTCCAAAAATTGCATTCAAAAATTGACTCAGATAACAGTCCTAGAAAGACTTTTGTGACCAATGCTGTAGTCTGTTTAACTGGACTTCCAGTTCTTTCTTTAGTACATATCCATGAAACAAATTCCTGTTGTGTGAAAAGAAAATTATACAATGCTTCCTAACTGAAAATAATGTTAAGGAATGTTTTGGACATTCTTCATGTCTGCAGTTAAACAATCCATGATAAATGTCTCCCTAATCCAATAATCAATATCAGTAATAAAATAACATTTGTTCTTTAACCAGAATTTATGTTTATAATCAATCTTATATCAATAAAATTATAAGGAAGATAAAATTTATCTTATAAATTAGTTTTCTGAAATACTCAAATTTAATTAATATTTGAATGTTTAAAATATATTATTTCTTATATAGCATCTTGTTATAGGTACATTCCTACTAAAAACCTTGCTAAACTTAAAGCGAGAAAAACACTTTGGCAACTTTAAAGTTATTAACATTAACATTCAAATGTTAATGTGAATAATAACAATAATCTAGCCTCAAGCCAAAAATTATTAACCAAGGACTTTTAGAATTAAAGCCTTTTAAATTTAATTTTAAATCTTGATGATTTATGCTGATTAAATCTTCAGTTCAAATACCCATACTACAAATTTACCTAATCTGATCTTTAAAATTTACATAGATAACAGTTGTACCAAGGGAATAGTTCTCAGTAAGATATGTCATATAATTGAGGAAGTTCTGAAATACTATCCCAGTAGATATTTACGTAAACTAAGCACTCTTATGTTGAGCCCAGAGTCAGCGACCATCATCTTTATTTACTGCCTTGAATTGCAGTGTCTTTGAGGAGGGAGGCTTTCACATATCCTACAATTATCTTCTACATTAGTTCTCTATACTCCCCTTTCTCCATCAGTTCAACCATTTTTAATGAGTGTTTTTCAGTAATCCTTCAAAATTTTTGGACTTTTACAATTTTTGCTGCAGCTGAAAATTTATTTCCACTAATATTTTTATGTATTTTAATAGGACGTTTGTAGAAAAAGAAAAATAGGTTAATATTTATATTTTAGTCATCTTGCGTGTTTGCACACATTTAATACTTACTTAGGGAATTTTTAATGGTTGCCTTACTATTTAAACATTTGAAGTAAATTTGGACTCTAAAGTATATAATTTGAAAACGAAGCATTCACTCATTTTTCCTTGGTGATCCAGGGGTACACATAAGAAGGACATTTTCTTTTGTGATAGGGATATTTTTTTCTCTGTAATTTCGCACTGTTAAATGTTTTCTTCCTGGAAAAATGCTGATGACATACTCCTAAAGAGATGAGGCAGTTATAGAGGACTGTGATGAACAGTCTGCTCACTTTTTGGTCATGCTTGTATAGACATATAAATGTACAATTCAGCTGTATCATCGTATTAGAAAATAGTTTTTCCTTTTAATCAATATATAGTGTTCTTTTTAAAAAATGTTCACACTAAGTGCTCTAGGAACCTGTGAGATCTGTTATATTAAGGCTATAATATGTCCATATATTCTATAGTAAATTATTCTATTACACACACAGATACACACATGCACAAGAATACACTCACATAACCAGACATCACATCAAAGTGACTTTGAGTCAAGTTGTATTGTCAATGCCAAAACTCCTGTAGGTACAGTCAAAAGATGATTCCAAATTTTTCTTTGATCAATCTATTGTTGTTGCTTGTATTGTGGTAGCAATATTTCCATATACTTACTTCATAACTTAAAAATAATCAGTTTGGAGTATTTTGTCTTTTTATTTTTCTATTCTCTTTTATGTGTCTCCACTGTGCTTTTTAAAACAAGTTTTTTCGTTAACAGTATTCTCTTTTTGTGGTGATTTATTTAGCAGTCTCATAAAATAAACTACAAAATAGGGTGATGCTTGTATATCAGTTTACAAGAAACAGTTTATATAAAATGTGGCACATCCTAGAGATGTAATTTGATAGCAAATCAATATGTGCCAACTATCAAAATATATCAATTTAATTTAGATGAAAAAGATTGAAAGCATAAGTTACAGAAACTTACTTTTTCCATAGAAAGCTGCCTGTCCTTACCAGAAATAATCATGGAGAATTTCAGTTAGGAAACATAAGAGGCTCTCTGCTTAAAGAGTTATAAAACAATTTGAATTTTGATTGTTCAGACAGAGTAGTGAGACTGATTAAAAGGGAGGTAGTAGAAACATATGGAAATACGTAAGGAAAGATGAAGCTGTATAAAGACACTAAAATCTGTGCAACCTGGAAACCAATGAGACTCTGGCATACTATGTTACAATGTGATTTTTTTTCACATATTGGAGGTTACTATAATACATTGCACAAAAGTTTTTCTTCTTTACCTTTCCCCTTAAGACCTAGAGCAAGATTGCAATGAACTAGCTGTTACATTGCAAAAGACAAATCTTTAGACTGAATTATAATTAATATGTCTTCATATATTATAATTAATATGCCTAACTCTAGATTTCCGCTATGAGGACTAGAGAACAATAATATCAGTTGGTTAAAAAGAAATAATTACTTTGATATCATAAGCAAATTTAAAGTTTAAATTGGCATATTTATTAATAGAAGACATTAAAAGAAGCACTAACTTGTAAATGATAAATTTATGTGACCTTGTTGTACACATAAGACTAAACCTGTTAAAATAATTCCCACTACAAGAAAATCCTTTGTTTTCTAGTCTACATACCATTATTGATTTGTGTAATTGGAATGCACTTTCACTTTTGAAATCACCATAAAAAAAGTGTATTGTTGAAGCTCTGAAGATCGTGTGTTTTTGCATCTTTAAACATTTTTGACTGGGTATTTATAACTAGATCTGTGGTAACTGCTACCTCAATGTTCACATCCACAGCATGATTTTATGTGTCAAATATAGAATTTCTCAAAATGCAATCTAGTTATTCATCTTCAAGAATGTCTGATTATTAGAATATGAACTTTTAAATTTAGGATGCAAAATCTGTTGTATATTCATATCTAGATTCCCCAGCATAGTGTAGGGGCCTAGTAAATGTCTTGTTTGGAAAGTTTACATTCCATTTTTTGGCAAGAACTTGGGCATATTTATATACTGAAAAATGTAATTCAGTGTAATCATGTTTTATATTGTTACTAAGTAAGTATATTATGAATTTCCTAGGTCTTTAGTTTGTCTTTGTTATGCTATCTATTCTGTATACATTTACTCAGTTCAACAATTTAACTTTCAGGATTGGAGACCATTAAAAAACACATTTTTTAAGAGCAAAAGAATCATAAATTATCAATAATGTGTAAATGATAGGCATTAATAGTCAAGAATAAAATACTGAATTTGAAAAAATTTATAAAAATAAAAGTGATAAATATGCTTTAGATAGCTTCTTTTCTGCTGAAATGACCTGTGTTACCTCTAGCTCAATGCCATGCCTTAGAGCCCCAGTAGATAGAGCAAGATCCTATTTTCAAGCACCAGCATGATTTTAAAATTTTCCTATATAGGCCCAGTCCATTCTGGGTAAAGTAAATCTATTCCACTTTTTCAGAGATAAAACCTACTGCCAGTTAAAATCAGCTTGATAATATGAATAACACTAAAAAGATCAATCAGAAAGAGGAATAGAAATGCTGATTTTTGAGAAATTTGAATTTGAAGAAATACTTTTGGATGACAAATATCTAAAAAGATATATCCAAAAGGAAATATCAGAGGTTTTAGTTCTAAAAATTCACATTGTTTGCATTTGTCAAGCATTATTAGTACTTTCTTATTTTTTCTCACCCATACTAGCTTGGGAAGCTGCTATGGGTTAAATTGTGTCACCACCGAAAAGAAATGTTGAAGTCTTCTAGAACCTCAGAATGTGACCTTATTTAGAATTAGAGGCAGTCAAGTTAAAATTTGGTTATTAGGGTGGACCTTAATCCAATATTGACTGGTGTTCTTATAAAAATGAGAAATTTGGGAACAGTCACAGACATACACAAAAGGAAGACTTACCTGGGAGGGGAGATACCATGATCACGAAGGTGATTTTCCCAGGGCGAGACTTATCCATTACACTCTCGGCATGCTGACCCCTGCGTTTTCCCCAAATGTGGGAAACTGGACTGCATAATTTGTGGTATTGGGGGACTGCGTTCACGCTTCCCCCTGACTTTTTGAAAAAAANAAAAAAAAAAAAAAAACAAAAAAACGAAAGGAAGACTATGTGAACACACATAAAGAAAAAGATGGCTACATAACTGGATTGATGCATTTATAAAAGAAGAAGTGCTAAGGATTACTGGAAGATACCAGAAATCAGAATTGGTGAGAAAGGATTCTCCCCTAGAGCTATTAGAGCATCACCCTAACAATATTTTGATTTCAGACTTCCATCCTCTAGAAATGTGAAGTGATAAATTTATGTTGATGTAAGTGGCCAAGTTGCTTGCAGCCCTAGGAAACAGAAATATAGCAGCTTATCTACTTTTTATTAAATATTAATAATTTAACAAAATATAGTACACTCAGCCCTCTGTATCCAGGAGTGCCACATTTGTTAACCAACGTTGGAATGAAAACAATAATAAATTAATTAAATAATAATACAACAAAATATACAATTAAGAAATACAGCATAAGAATAATTTACATGACATTTGCTTATGTTTGGTATTATAGGTAATCTAGAGATTAAAGTATATGGGAGGATGTGTATGGGTTATATATAAATACTATGCCATTTTATATTAGGGACTTGAGAATTCATGAATTTCTGTATCTGCAGGAGCCCTGGAACCAATCTTTTTTGAATACCCAGGGACAAGTATATTATGAAATATCTGCTTGTAATTAGATAATCTTGGAAAAAATGTAATACTAACTGCTGAATTACTGTCATGACAAGATAACCTTTAATGACTGTGTGTGGTGGCTCACACCTATAATCTCAGCACTTTGGCAGGCCAAGGTGGGTGGATCACTTGAGGTCGGGGGTTCAAGACCAGCCTGGCCATCATGGTGAAAGCCTGTCTCTACTAAATCTACACAAACGAGCCAGGCATGGTGGTGCACACCTGTAATCCCAGCTAGTTAGGAGGCTAAGGCAGGAGAATCGCTTGAACCCAGGAGGCGGAGGTTGCAGCAAGGTGAGATTGCATCACTGCACTCCAGCCTGGGCAACAGAGCAGATTCTGTCTCCAAAAAAAAAAAAAAAAAAAAACCCTTTAAAATACTAGAAAGAAATTAAAATATGTGCTTTAGTAAAATCACATACATTGGTTTTAAAGTATTCATCATTTAATAAATCTGGAAGTTGACTGAATCATTTTAAAACATAAATATATGATTTAAATTCATATGCAGCAAATAATTTGGCATATTATTTTTAATACATTTTAAACTTTATGTTTGTAAATAAACACAAGAAAACTCTAGCATGTGCATATAATCCCACGAATTAGAGATATTAACCATACAAACAAGTTTTGATCATTAGTACGTATCTTTGCTGAAAACTAAGTTTGAAAATCTAATGACTGATAGCTAGGGAAAAATTTGCAGACGGTATATTTTCCTAACTCAGTGTAATGCGGAAATATTCCTTCTTGTAACTCCTATTCCCACAATATCTAATTAGTGGCAGGGTGGGGTGAGCACTCCAATCATTGGTCTTTGAATACATAATATCTGATTTTTCTTGGTTAATGATACATGTTTTTACAATTTACAATGTGAACTGGAAACCTTATTTAAAAATAACATGACTGAAAGTTAAATTTTTGTTTTTTCTCAATCTGTTTTCCTCTTATCTGATGCAAATAAGTCATAAGACTGAGTTTTACTTTCCAAACCTCAGTCTACAAAAAATTTGTCACAAATAAAATATTGCATTAATTGGGGTTTATTCAGCAATCCTTCCCTAAGCAGAAGTCCTACTAAAATCAGAAATATTAAATTTGATATTGAATCTTAGATGCAAGAAGTTATGTGTTACTTGCTAAATGTTGTTTTAGCTATGCTGGGGTTGATACTTCCAGAGAGAAAATGACTAACTTATTCCCTATTAATATGAACAAAAATATGGAATTAAATGTTAACATTTTATGTTGGCAGTGTACTTTAAGGTATGTGTGTATATATATATATATATATATATATATATATATATATATATATTCTCTGTTGAAAGATGCCATATATTGCTAGCAGTCATAGTCAAAAAGCATGATAAAAATGAAATATGTACTTCTAAATTCAATCTACTCACATGAAGACATTAGAGATATTTTTAGAAATGGAGTCAAATATTGTCCTTTTCACACCTTTTTCAGTTGCAATATTATTTCCTGCAAAGACAGAGATTGGTACTTCAGAAAGGAATTCCCAGATCCTTGATTAGTTAACTTGATGGCCACATTTGTATCTCTCAAGACCCATGTGGCTTTAGCAGGTGACTGATGCCACAGCGGTTACTTTTTAAAAGTTTATTTTCTCTCTGATATAATGTGCTGTAGGACTAAAGATTAAATTTTCACTTAAGTATAGAATGTGTACCACTCTTGTACTTCTAAGTGATTTTCTCCAAACTTTCTTCACCACGGTTTTTTACACTACTAATGTAACATCTTTATATATGTCACATTTCAGTAGGGAATATATGAAGTAAAATCTGAAGAATTAATCAAAATAATATCCCAATATATAAATGTAATAAAGATTAATTTGGGATGACAGAACTACACTAAAGACAACCAATAACAATAAGAAAACAAAATGAAAAAAAAAATAAGCAACCAACATTCCTCCAGCATAAAAGAACAAATAGGAGAGAAAAATTTTGAAGAAAACTTTATATAGAAATAAAATTGTCATTGAAAATCCAGAAGAACTTGATTACCTTTGTCTAATCAAGAACACTATTTTTTAAAACTAAATGATTGTATGTGGCCGGTGGCAGCGGGGGTGTTGGGGGTGGGAAGTAAGATGGGGATGATTTTTTTTCTCTGTAAGCAACAATGTATAAACAATGCTCTAGAAATATAGTTGTTGTTTTAAGTATTGTTGATGATAATATTTACTAATCATCCTAAACCAGAAGACTTCCTTTGTTAAACTTTCAGAATCTCAGTATATGCTCAAAAGTTTTCACATCAAATATTGTTGACCTACACATAGCAAACTTTTTAATAAACTACAGACCACTAGAATTATTTAACTTTTCCCAAAACAAGAATCATCAAAGACTTTCTTAGCTGCTTAAAATTGATTGATTCAAGCACATTAAGGAAAGAATAAAACCACCCAATTAAAGTATAAGAAAACATAGAGAATATTTTTCTCTTTTAATACACTTCAAAGCAAAAGCACTATGCTCTTCTAGAGCAAAGGTGTTGTAACAACATGTAGAAGAATATAAAGAATGTATCCTGGATAAAGAAAGGAGACATTTTATAGGCTGGGAATGGGACAGAAGGAAACTTGTATCCTTGGCAGAATGGATTATATATCTTACATATTTTTTGAAAAACCACAGTCTGGGTGAATGGGTACTCAAGGCTCTTATTAAAACTCTTAGTATTGTGTCCCAACATAGCTCTGCCTTCTGTGGTTGATTGATTAGACTGCTCCTGCATGTTTTCCCTTAAGATTTCAAGACTCTTTGCACAGAATTTTAAACACGGCCAAGCTGATGCTATAAAACTGAAAGCAAACAATTCATTTGAAAAATTACAAAGAAAAGATAGTAATGGCAATATAAGGTAGACTAGAAAGAGCAGGAGATAAAAAAAATCGGAACCCTCAAGTAACGATGACAAAAGGTAATCACTCAAAGAAAATGTTTTAGTTTTTGAAAGACCAATTGTTTTCTTTACCACATATAGCCACTACCCTAGTAATAATATCTACCTCCTATGGACAAACATGTTACTTCTCCTCTCAAGGCAAACATACCACTTTAGTTTTCTTCTCCCACTTTTAACAGTCTTATTTATGCTTGAATATGTCAGTGAGTAAGGAGATTGGTTCCACATGTTGACGATTCATCTCCTCCATCTTCTTCATTCATTAAGCAGCATTTATTGAACCTAACTGCCAGTACATTGTTTTTCAAAACTGACTGACACATTAGAATTGGAAGAGTATAAATTGTTGTTTATTTTTACTATCAATACCCAAGTTCTACACTCAGAAACTCTATTTCAGTTAACCTCAGAGTTGAGAATGCAAGACTATTTTTTCTAAACCTCCCCAAATGATTCTAATTGGCACCAAGATTGAGAACGATGGACACAGTAGAGAGATTCAAAATGCTATTTAAAAAAAAAAATAGGTTAAGGCTCTGCAATGCCAGGTATGTGGTCACTGACAAACCATTTTGACCTTGGACTTATATAAAATATAAAAACAATACTAATTCCTACTTTATAGCTTTATTGTCAGGATCAAATAAGATTAAATATGATGATGGTATGTAAATTTTAAGGCAAATATCAGTTGTCTTACTACTAGAAATTCTAGTTCTTCCTTGTATAGGAGCAGAGTACATTAGTGCCTCATAATTCTATTTTCAATGTGTTTTTGATATCCCCTTATTAAATTTTATTGATATTTGTTTTCAACAGAAACTTCACATAAGTTGAGATGAATTGGCATGCTATCATTTTGCTAATGCTGCTTAATTTACAAAAGGCAAATCAAATTGTGATTATAAGCCTTTTCAGTTCCTGCAAATTGATGTTTAAGGCATAGGATATATGGTTTGGATTTCTATTTTATACAAAACAATGATTCATAGATAGAAAAATGAGTTTATTTCTTCCTTGGGAGAATGCCTTATGAACCAAACATCATTATCAAGGCATGCTACAGTGATAAGATGTGACCTTAAAGCAGTGAAGTAGACAGATTTGAGAAAACAAGGACAAGATTATTTAATTGTGATATATGATGTTTAGCAATACTTTTTTTTTTCAAGAAAAAACGTATACTTATTGAGGAAAAGAATAGTAACTGTAAGTAATAAAGAGAAGTTTATAGTATTTAAAATATAAGGAAATCTAAAATTATAAAATAATTTAATGGTAGTTTGCTGCTTGAGGTACTGAGTCCTTCAATTCTAAATACAAATTAGGCATAAAAAAAGCTTAATAATATATGCAAAGTTAATT